CCGTCCGCGCGGTCAGTCCGCGAAACCATCTGTCACCGGCCGACCACATTGCGCGATCAGGATACCATCGCACCGCCTATGCGATGCACCCTCAAGTAGTGGGGCCTCGGACTGCCGCAACAAGAATTTGCATGCAAAGGTGCACGCGGACGCATCTATCGAGCTCCAGCAGTCAGCACCACGTGTAAAAGCCAACGAGATGCCTTTCCATCCAACCGATTCAAGCCGTCCTAAGTCATTGCATCGAGAGAGCGGGGGGAAGCTGAGTTCATGAATAAGCGCTTCACTGATGTGCACGACCCTGATAACCACCTCCCCCCAGACAAACAAACAAGCTCTTTGCCTTTGCCAATTTCCCCCGCAAGAGATAATCGAAGTTCTGGAAAGCTTTGGAGCGTAGAGTCGTCAAAAATTCTTGAGTGAGTGAGTGAGTGAGCGCAGCGAAGTGTCCTGTATCCTACCATCCGCACCAAGGAGATGAGATCTTCTGGTTTGAGACTGGCTGCCGTCCGTCGCGACAAGAAAGGGTCGGAGAGAATCAGGACCAAAAAGCCATATTGAGAGGGCCATAGCCCTCGCTGGCTGAGGCGAATGTGCAGAGGTGATTGCGGCGACGGTAGACAGGGAAGAAAAAGCCAGATGCTGAGCCTTGTTTCTGGGACTGGCTTCGGTAAATTGGAGTCGGCTTCGCGGCCTTGGTTGAGGGAGAGAGGGAGGTGGGATAAAGCTCTGCCACATTGTTCAACCATACTCTCTGTTCTCCCTAGCTGGCCTTCCGGTGCTATATGGCTGGTTTCTCGAGCGTATCGACGTAAGGTCTCTCACGCCGGCCAGGAGGCCCAACGAAACAGCAAGCAGACATCAATTGATTAACGTCAACCATACCATAGATGATATCTACCCACACCCATATCTATCTCGCTCCGCACACTCTTCCGTCCCAGTGTCTCCCAACGCCATTCCCCGAAAAGGAAAAGGATGCCGCTCAAACCACCACTCCCACACACCAATCCTCCGCCCTTACAATCTCCGCCGATACAGTTCACCTCCACACTCCCTCAACCGCTTAGCCGCCTGCTCAGGCGTGATATCCCTCTGCGGCTCCGCCATCATCTCATACCCGACCAAGAACTTCCTCACGGTCGCGCTACGCAGCAAAGGCGGATAGAAGTGCATATGGAAATGGCTGGTTTCGATTTCTTCCGCTGAGCCTGAGAGGGGCGCTTGGTGGATGCCCATGCCTATGGAGTGAAGAGTAAGAGTGTCAGCATATATATATATATATACGGATGTACATATCAGTTGAATCATGTAAGGGGGGGATATAAAAACTTACTATAAGGGAAAGAAGTCTCAAACAAATTATCATACCGCCTGGTCACCTCTCCAATCGTCTCAGCCAGATCCTCCTTCTCCCGCGCACTGAAATCTACCAGCGCGCGCTTATGCCGTTTCGCGACGACCATGATCTCAAAGGGCCAGGTACCCCACCAAGGACATCCGGCCCAGAAACTCGCGTTCTCGAACACGGTGCGCTCGCCTTTGGAGCTTTCGAGCGCGGCGTAGTCTTCGAGGAGATGGGCGCCGCCTTGTTCGCGGTGGTAGGTCGAGAGGTTTTGCGCTTCGAGGTGGGGTTCTTCGGGCAGGGAGGTGGTGGTCCAGATTTGGCCGTGCGGATGCGGGTTGGAGCAGCCCATGGCTTGGCCTTTGTTTTCGAAGATTTGCATGTAGCGGTATTGTTGCTGCGGGGTTTCGACGAGGTTGCCATTCAGAGCGGCGGGGGAGGAAGGGGGAAGGGTGGTGGGTTTGGCGGACTGGCAGAGCGGGGAGTGTGGATCGAGGTGGGAGGTGTAGATTTTGGTCCAGGTTTCGATTACGGGGAGGATGCTGGAGGGAGGCATGTCCGCGAGGGTGATGTTGTGGCTGGGCGAGAAGGTGATGACATAGCATTTGCCTGTCGTGCTCTCGGCCTTGAGCAAGCGGGAGGCTAGGGAGCCGTCTTGGTCGGGGGATTTGAAATCGGCTTGCTGCTCTTTGACGGCGGAGTAATCGTTGACGAAGACAAAGGTGCTGTCGTAGTTGGGGTTGGCGTCGCCCTGGGCTCGCTTGTTGCCGGGACAGAGATAGCACTACTACGTCCATCAATCACATGTCCGAATCAATCACATGTCCGGTGTGGTCGCCGACGAATATACGATATCACATACCGATGCATCGTACTGGGGCAGCTCAATCTTGCTGGCGGCCTCTTGCTGACCCTGCCATGGCCGTTTCGTCCGGTGGGGGGAGACGAGCACCCAGCTCCCTCGTAGCGGGTTATAGCGGCGGTGTGAGATATCGTCGAGGACGGCGTCGTCGGGGGAAGACATGGCGTCCTTGTGTGCAGAGGAGGAGGAGGAGGGTGGGGGGGCGGAGACTGAAAAGGTACCGTTAGGCAGGTCGGACGGTTGGCGTTGATGCATACTGACAAGAGCAGAGAGAGTAGTGCCGGTTCGCTCGTCACACGGCGGGGGGGGGACGCTGTCGGCGCCGTATATCTCTCACGCGTCTCCGTCTTTCTCTCCAAGCTTCCGACGGGCTGTCATCGGTAGGAAGTGGGCAGCGTCTGGTGTTTGCGCCCATCGTTATTCCTTGGTGTGGTGATTGGAGGAAGTTCCGTATACCGCACGGGATGTGGAGGTGACGGGACAAATATCCAGTGACCGTATGTGGAGGGGGAGGGGCATGTGAGAGTGGGCTGTCCACAATCCCGCTCGGCCACAACCCAGCATGTGATCAGTCCCGGATGCAATATCGTAGTATCGGCATCCTTGTGACGCTTCATGACAGACACCGTATTGCTAGAATAGCTACAGACGAAAACGGCACGAGCAAGAAGCAAGACTCTCCATAGCACTGTCCCATCACGAAGGCAAGTACCTTTATGCTAGGTTTACGACTATACCCAACAACAAGGGAATCGTCAACCCACCTCACAGATACAGAAGAGATAATGTACCTCATCACATCACGTCACATACCACAAACCAACCACAACACCCAAAACCCAGGAAATGTCCAACAATGACCAAACCAAATATAAAAACTGAACATCCGACTCAACTAGACCAACAGCCAAAATCCCCCCTCTCCCCCAAACCTCCCATTCCCAACCCACTCAAGACCAGAAAATGAACTGCCCACTCACACCGTACAACCCGGCGTAAGCAAACAAACATCCTGCGCCAACCCTTCCCTCATAAAATTACCCCCGACCGGCCCAATCAACCCAGCCTCAGCCACATAAGCATTAAGATCGAAATTGTTCCTCACACCGGGCAAAGCCATCAAAGTCGGCGGCGGCACATAGCCATCGGGCTGGCGGTAAACGAGAAAAGTATAGCGATGCGGCGCGACGGAGAGCGGGGTCAGGGGCATGTAAGGAGCGACGGTTTGGCGGGATTGGGAGGTGATGCAGCGGGGTTGGGCGTCGGAGACGATGGTGTGGAGGAAGTTGGAGAGGATGGGGGCTTCGGGGCCTGGGGCGTCTGGGTCGACGAGGAAGTAGGTGTATTTTGTCGTAAGCGGGTCGTAGCCTGGTTCGGCGGTGAAGCTTACGGAGGGGGTAGTGAGAGTTTCTTGGCAGAGGAGGAGGAGGAGGGATGTTAGCGGGCTGAAGGAGGAGGGCGTTGATTTGGGAGGTCTGTGTGGAGGAGGGGGGGGTCTACCAATGGTGTTGAAGGTGTTGCCGAGCTGGACTTGCTTGCCATTCCAGTCCGCTTGCACAGCGACGTCTGGGTAGAATTGAGGGATCAGGTCCGGAACGAGCTGGGCTTGAGTGAAGGCGGCTTTGGCTGCCGCGAGGGTGGCGACGCCAGCGAAGGTGCAGGGTGTTGCGCGTTCTTCCAGAGCGCCGTCGGGGAGGGCCGCGGCTGTGACAGAACCCACGAGGGCGAGGAGGGAGAGGTATTGCATGGTAGGAGTAGAGGTGTGTGTTCAGAGCGTGGATATTGGGAGGGATGGAGGAAGCTCGAAATCAGAAAACGTAAGAGCGCTCAAGGTCGACTTACATTCGAGCTTAAGTACATTTCCAGCCTGCCTCCCCTCGCACTGCTAGTGGTCTTGAAGTGTCATGCGACAAGGTCGTCCTGCATATACTTCGGCTTGAAGATGAGGAGTAAGGATGTCACCAAAGGCTGCCTTCCCAAGCCTCCTACTGACAATGCGTCCAGCAGCGTAGCACCGTCGATCTTATCAAGCGTCTAGCAAGAAAAAGGCAGGGCACCGACAGCAAGATCACCCGATCTCTCTTTGATCGGCATCTTGAGTTACCCAAGGTAGGTGCCCCTACTAGTAGCGGCTTTACGCTAGACGTCTTATGTCCATCGCCTAGAGCCACACACCTGCGAAGGTACAACGAGATGCGTCGGGTAAGACAAGTAGGTAGGAGATGTTGTCGCCAGCTAGTCGATGTGTGATCTCCTCCAAAGTCACTCCAGACACATTTCTCGTGCGTTGATGTCTGGAGCGACGATGCCTCTCGGTCCGGCTGAGGTATTCTTTCATACTCACACTCATGATCAACCTCTACAGGCCGTCTCGTTTTCAAGACTCGAAGTGCCGTCTGATGAACCGGATCACCGGAAGCTTCTGACGATATAAGCATACGCTTGTGAGGCTCGGTGAGGGGGGTGGTATGCACCTTGTCGATCTGCCTCTAGTTGTGCGCATTATATGGTTCTTCTGGACGGTAAGTGATATGTACCACGCTAGAGATGTTTAAGGAAAGACCGTAGCGTCTAAGCGATCGACGATATGAGCGAGAGAGCTAAATGCCGAAAAGGCAGGAGCAGGAGGCTGTCAGGCTGGACTAATCCCAGAGCTCAAGATGCGAAAAATGGTCCTACGTCGATGCTCTGATACAGCACGAGCATGTCACGAGACTTTATGGAACGGAGAAGCAAAAAGGAACAGAATCAGAGCAGAGGGAAAGAAAGCAAAAAGTGTGACGCGTGTCTACACGACCAACATGGGACTCGAACCCACAACCTTCCGCTGTATCCAGATTAGGAGGCGGACGCTCTACCATTGAGCCAATCGGCCTCAATCAATTAATTCATTGAACATTGATGCAAACGAATCGAAAATTTCGTCTCCTGGAGCTGGTGCAACAGTTGCTGTGCCGTTTCCCATTATGACATATATAGCTCAATTGTACAGCCGAGACTTGCCCATGTCACAAAATTGTCTGACGTGAGCATACACCTCCGCATCAGCAACAGATTTCGAGGCAGGATGTTAATGGACAGCAAGTTAAGGTATGATGGGAACATATGAGAAAAGGTCGACCACTAACACGACGAAGGGGAGGGTGGAAGGGAAAGGACCATGGGGACATCCTTTGATCACCTTACGATACTAGCGCCAGATCTGACTGCGCGATGAACGCATGTTCAGGTACGATCGCGCTTCCACGGCCGCGTTTAATGACGTGCATTTCATTATTACCTAGGTATGTAGTTCCTTTGACATTTCTCCCACAGTGCACGCTATCATGTGCCTTTCCAATCAGAGCAGTCGTTCGTAGAGATGCCGCCTTTTATATCCCGCAAACGCCAGAGATCCCCATCGCCAGCTGCAACGCCACCGTCCGGCAAAGTGAAAGCGGCCCCGAAGGCAGTACCAACGCAGAAACGAAACAAGACGAGTGTTTTCGAAGCGGTCGATGCGCCGGCGGATCGCAAGCGTGATGCTGTGGCGAATCGAAAGTTGCTTGACGAGCTGAACGATAATAACGACGACGATGACGAATCGCTTAGCGAAGCGGACAGCGACGAGTTCGAAGATGTCCCTGCTCCGAAGCGTCGCAAGACCTTACCTCAGGCGGAACCGGATGGAGAAGGGGAGGAAGAGGATGATGACGACGAGGAGATGGATTGGGAAGACGCGATCACCCAGACTGCACCCTCGAGTACCGCAAAGCCGGAGCCGGAGATTGGTGACATTTCGTTTACAGTAAAAGAAGATGGGTCGTACACTGCGCCGGACGCCGGCGTCTCCGTCCCGGGTCTCGGGAAAAAGGGGCCGAGCAAACGAGAGAAGCAGGTGCGGACGCAGACGCATTGCTTGCACGTCCAGACATTACTATGGCATAACACTGTGCGGAACTCATGGGTGAACGACCGCGAGGCGCAGAAGACGCTCGTGGAGGGCCTGCCGGAGGGTGTGAAGAGGGAGGTGACAAGGTGGCGGGAGGCGATGGGGACGTTGAGTAAGGAGGAGCTCGAGGCGAAGAAGAAGGCGGCTGCTGCGAGGCAGAAGGGGAGGAAGGGCAAGAAGGGGAAGAAGGGTGGTGGACGGGATTGGAATTTCGATGCTGAGCACCTCGAGCAAGGCGTGCCGAATCTTAGCGCTGGGGATCCTTTGCTGAGGTTGTTGAAGGTGTTGGCTGCCTACTGGCGGAAGAGGTTTGCTATTACTGCTCCTGGTTTGCGGAAGCAGGGTTACATGACGATACGGAGGCTAGGCGAGGAGATCAAGGATTGGGACAAGAACAAGGGGGATGCTCAAGAGCACAGCGAAAGGATTGAGGATATAGCGGGCTTTCGTAGGCTGGCAAAGAAGTGTGAGGGCAGTCGTGATGTGGGCGCTCAGTTGTTCTGTGGGTTACTGAGGGGTTTGGGTTTGGATACGAGAATGGTGGCAAATTTGCAGCCAGCGGGGCTAGGATGGAGCAAGGCGGAGGAGGCGAATGCGAAAAAGCCAAAGAAGGATCGAAAGGACGAGAAAGATGAGCAGGAGTCTCAGAAGCAGGAACAAAAGGTGAAGACGGAGGTCAATGGCTCTGGCAAGAAATTTAGGCAGGAGTTGAAGCCTGAGAAGCCGTCACGTAAATCCAACCGGGGAAACAAGGCTGAGCCCATCAGTCTAGACGACGACTCCGACAGCCCTCTCAGCAGTGCGCCGTCGGATGCCGAAGCGGAAATGATTGAGATAGACGACGATGATGATGAATCCGTTGTAGACGTCACACCAGCCATACCTAAGCGGAAACCCAATAAGAACTATGACCGCGACCTTGCATTCCCGAATTACTGGGTCGAAGTATGCTCGCCAGCATCGCACAAATACATCCCCGTCGACCCTATCGTACTCAGCACCATCGCTTCCAACGACGAGCTCCTTCAGACCTTCGAGCCTCGCGGTAAGAAGGCTGAAGTCGGCAAGCAGGTCATGGCGTACACCATCGCATTTTCGTCTGATGGTACGGCGAAGGATGTCACGGTCCGCTACCTCAAGAAGCACCAGCTTCCTGGCAAGACCAAGGGCACCCGCATGGCAGTGGAGAAGGTCCCGATCTACAACCGCAAAGGCAAAGTCCGGCGGTACGAAGAGTACGACTGGTTCCGCACCGTAATGTCTCTCTACGACCGACCAGAAAACAAACGCACAGCGGCCGACGAGCTAGAAGAAACTACGGACCTCAAACCTCAGAAACCCGCCAAAGAAGACGGCAAGGAAGTCGAAAAGGAGAGTCTACAATGGTACAAGCAGTCGGCCGACTTCGTCCTCGAGCAACACCTCCGTCGCGAAGAAGCCATCAAACCGGGCGCCAAAGCCGTCAAAACATTCACCCAAGGCAAAGGCGACAAAGTGAAAGACCATCCGGTATTCAAACGCTCTGATGTCCTTGCCTGCAAAACCGTCGAGTCCTGGCATAAAGAAGGCCGCGCTTTAAAGGCGGGCGAGCACCCGATGAAACTCGTGCCCATGCGCGCCGTGACGTTGATCAGGAAGCGTGAGATGGAGGATGCGCAGCGGGAGACGGGGGAGAAGCTCAAGCAGGGGCTTTATAGTGTTGGTCAGACGGATTGGATCATCCCGCCTCCGATTGAAGATGGCGTGATTCCTAAGAATGCATATGGGAATATGGATGTTTATGTGCCCACGATGGTCCCGGAGGGCGCCAAGCATCTTCCGCTCAAGGGCTCGGCGAAGCTGTGTAGGAAGCTGGGGATCGATTATGCAGAGGCGTGTACGGGGTTTGAGTTTGGGAAGCAGCGGGCTGTGCCTGTGTTGACGGGGGTGGTGGTGGCGGAGGAGCATGTGGAGATGGTGAGGGATGCTTGGCGTGTGGAGCAGGCGGAGGTGAAGCGCAAGGAGGATGTGAAGAGGACGGCGGCGGCGCTGAGTTCGTGGCGGAAGATGTTGTTAGGGTTGCGGGTGTTGGAGCGTATGCACACGGAGTATGCAGGGAGTGCGGGTAAGGAGGAAGAATACAATCCGTTTTTGGCTAGGGCGAAGAGGGAGGAGAGGGAGGATGGGGGTGAGCGAGCTGTAGATGTTGGCGCGGAAGGGGATGAGTTTGGCGGCGGTGGTTTCTTTCCTGAGGGGTATGACGAGGAGGAGGTGCCGCAGCAGACTGGTCGCAGGAAGGCCGCTGAAGATGATAATACGGGTGAAGATGGCGGTTTCCTTGTTGAAGAGGATCACGACAATGAGGTGGAGGCTGGTGGCTTCTTGGTTGAAGAAATGCCTCAGGACGCAGCTAGAGCGTCCAAGGGCTATGCACCTACCACGCCCGTGAGTCTGCAGAGTATGCACAATGCTGCAGATAACGCCAACGGAGAGGAAGTCGAAGATGTCAAGACCGAGGATACAGCGGCGGAGGAACAGCTCGTCTCAACTGCCCTTGCGCTCCACCCTCGCAAGCGGCCGACGAGAGCACCTCGCAAGCAGCCGACAAAGGCTACCGCCAAGCCAGCCGCGAGGCCTCAAGCTCGATCGGAGAAGACGGATGTAGAAGACTCCTCGCTTTCCGAGCTCGAGGAAGCTTCCGAGCAAGACAAGGAGGACGACTCAACCGAGGGACCGTCAGATCCCGACGACACAGATACAGCTACGCCACCACCTACAACGAAAAGCAAGGCTACACGCAAGCCAGCTTCGCCGAAAGTTCAGGTCACGCCTCGCGGTAAGCCCACCGCTTCGACCACCCGCGCCACTAGAAGCGCCGGGACGAGAAATGGCAACGCGAAGACTGCTGTGAGGAGTAAATACTTTGTTGCTTCTGACAGCGAAGACGAGGCTGAGAGCAAGAAGGGAGAGGAGGAAGAGAAGGAGGAGGAGGAGGAGGAGAGTGAGGCAGAGGTCGTCAAGCCCAGACGGACTACGCGGAGGACGAGCGCGAGAGTCTGATGTCTGTTGTGAAGAAAGTGCTGCTTGGCTGCCGCTACTTTATGCATCCAAGCCGAGGCATACTACCTAGGTACTTGCACTGATGTGACGACTGGGCTGTTATGCCGCTCGGTGCTCGATATCTTGTAGACTGGCTGACTCATAGACGCATCGCATTGAATCAAAATATGACCTTGTGGCATACCGCCGTATCATCAAGACTCCTTTCGTCAGCTGTCGAAAGGGTCAATGGTCGACGTTGAACATTCTTAGTCCACCTTTCTCCCGCTGGTGGGCTTGTGAAGTTCTTCCCATCGAAAGATATTCCGGTCGTCGACGGCTGGTCCGTCGTCGTTGTGGGCAGTAGTAGAGGTTCACATCGCCACAAGCATGTGCCTCCATCTCTTGCAGGCGACACGGCTGAAGCAGTCGACGAGACTTGAAACGATGTCACCAGCGGCCGCAGCCGGCGCCAGCAAGAAGGTGTCCGAGGGAAGGCCAACCCCTTGACACAACGCTCGCGCGCGCATGGATGGCACGCGACCGCACAAGCAGCGACACCAACAAACCTCCTGTGTCCGAGCCTGAACTTAAGAAGGCAAGTCAGCAGACAACAACAAGAAGTCTCCTCACGTGCTTAAACGATAAACAAGATTTTTCAAGTCTTGCCTCCCGTTGCTTCCTTTCTCCTCCCCACCCTCCCCCCTTCAGCCCGCCCCAGAAACGCAAAGTCAATTCGTACCTAAACCCGACTCGCACTAGCATCTGCCTACTTCATGTACCTACCGGTATCTCACCCACCCGTCCCCGTCTCCGCCTACTTTCCCTTCTTCCTACCTTATCTCTTTCGATCCCGTCCAAAGACTACTGTCGTACCGCATACCTACCTACCTACCTTACGCAGACACCATTGTACCTTTCGCCTC